AAATAATGCAGTTGTTACTAATATTAAACAATAGAGACTTGGCTTTAGCAGAAAGTAGAATTAAATATTTCTCTGCAGAAACACAAATCCCGATAGTGTCTGTGGAAATGCAGTCTGTGCCCACCCAGCTGAAGGTGAGCAAAGGAGCTTGGCTCCTCCATGCCAATCACTGCACCCAGAGTCCGAGCTTTCTCTCAGGGCTAAAACCCCGTGCTAGGCTCTGGATATAATCGAGTGTTAGGTGAGGTTCTTGCCCTGGAGGAGGTTGCATTTGGGTTTGAATTGTCCAGTCGGTATATAAAAACCAGCCTAGCAAGGCCATGCATTTCAGTAATGGATGGAGACTAAAGGCATTATGCTTTCATGGAGGGAGGATGCAAGATTTCTGTCCCAGAGCTCAGGGATGGCCTTCCAATGGAGGTGACCTCCCCTGCTTGGGGTCTGGAAGGATGAGATGGCAAAGGTGAGCAGGGGAGGTGCAGCCCTGGCTGGGAGGATCCTGTTGGGATGGGGAGGCTGACTGTAGGGAGTTGGGGGGTTAGCCTCAGTGAGCCCAGCAGGATGTTGAGTGTCCCAGGTCCATCCTTGCAGGAGAGCAGGTGTCTTCGCAAGGGCACGGGCCAATTGCCTGTTTAAGAGAACTCGGATTGATGGCCATTCTCCTGCCTAATGCCTGCCTCAGGGTATGTTCTGTGCTTTGCCCCAATGTCTGCTAGGGCTAAAATTTTCAGTTCCTTTGACTTCTGCCTGCACCAAGGTGGGGGCACGTGTTCACCTGAGGGACTTCTCCAGAAAAAGTTCTTTCCACCATTGGATACCCCTTTTTCTCTATGCTTTTTCTTTTTTTTTTTTTTGTGGTGATGTTGACATGGATGCATCAAAATATATTCTGTTTTTTTTCTGTTCTATTTGGTGGAAGTAATAAGTTTACAGGCCAATGAGCATGGTGATTGCAGTGCAAGAGGCAACGTCCTCAAGTGATCATGTTAACATGCAGAAAGAATGGTTACTTTTCTTTTTCTTATTTTTTCACATTGTCATTTTTTGAACAAAACTCAGAGTTCTTCTGTCTACTGGGGTTGTCCTTGGGATAGAAACCTCTTCCCTCTTCTTTCCCCCAGGTACTTTTGCCAACATGAGCCTTGACCCTTGCCTTCTCCTGGCCCAGGTGGGCATCCCTAGCTCTGCGCCCTCTCTTGGCCCAGCCCCGTTTTCCTGTGTTATCATTCCTTCCTTTTCACATTCTTCCTCTCGGGGATTTAGATGCTTGACAGGGTCTATTCCCAATATGTGCTGCATTTCAAGGTCATTGTGATGAGTTTTGACCACTGTTCAAAAATTGTAAAGACCCTACATGTAGCTTACAATCCAAACAGCTCTTTCTCCCATGAAAGATGGTCCCCCCAAACTTTCCCTTGCCTTGAGAAAGAGAACATTTGTTCCCACAGGAAAAAGGAGCCTACGCCCATTTTAGGCTGCGACAGTGAGTCTTTGGGATTATGGCTTCAGGGAAGCATGGAGAAGGAGGGAACCTAGATGATCCAAGCCAGCAGCGGTTCCCCAAGAGCCTCTGCAAATCACCAATTCTATGGGTTGTCAGCAGACATGAAAGTGAGGTTCTGGGGTGAGATGAGAAACCGTGCCAAATACAATTGCAATCCTTAAGTCCCTTTGTGGTAAAACTCCTCCAAGTCTTTGATATGTCATCGTGGCAATCGCTGAGGGGAGGACCCAGCAGAAAGCAGTTCCCAAGCTCATCCCACCATGGAGCTTTTCTCAGGAAGCTTGTGGGTCTCTATGTGGGAAGCAGTGATCTAATCTCATACCCTTGTTAATAAGTGGAGACGTTGGTCTGGAGAGAGCAAGTGACTTTCCTGAGGTTACATAGCTCAGTGGAGTAGAGGTTCAATAAATCATCATAATCCTAGATCCCTCTTGTTTCTATCTTAGCCGGTGGCCCTATCCTCTTCTCATCACCACAGCCTTCCCATTGAGCCTCCCAAATATTTGTAAAGATGCTTAGAGATGATCCAGACCAATTCCATTTTTGAAAATGAGGAAATTAAGGTTCAAAGAAGTGGTCTGACATGTTCAAGGTCACACAGGTCACGGGAGAGCTTAGGCAAGAACCTGGGCCCACTTCCTCTCATCTTTGTCACTTTGCCTTTGTGTCTTCCTCTGCCTTGGCTTAGACTCTTGCCATTTCTCACGTGGGCAACTGCCTTCAATGAACTCCCAGCTAGATTCATCTTCTTCCTAGCGTTCCTCTGCCTCCTTCAAATCCTAGTTTCCCATGTTAGCCAGAGTGGCATACCCCAAATGAACATCTGACTGTATCGCTCCCTGCACCCTCATCCTGAAGTCCAGCCTGCTTTCTCTGTGATAAAGTCACTGATAAGGCGTGCCCTAGGATCACCTGTTTAATCATTTAGCATACCATCATCCTGAATTGAAGCAACCTGGAGAGACCCAAGCACTTTAAACATGCCATCAGTATCAAATTGTTCCTGCATTGCTGAATCATTAGGTAGGAAAAAGTACATGTGTATGTGTATCAGTCCGTTTTCATGCTGCTGATAAAGACATACCGGAGACTGGGTAATTTATAAAGACAAAGAGGTTTAACAGACTCACAGTTCCACATGGCTGGAGAGGCCTCACAGTCATGGCAGAAAGCGAGAGAAGAACAAAGTCACATTTTACATGGTGGCAGGCAAGAGATAAGGAGAACCAAGCGAAAGGGGAAGCCCCTTATAAAACCTTCAGATCTTGTGAGACTTATTCACTACCACAAGACTAGTATGGGGAAAACAGCCCCCATGATTCAATTATCTCCCACTGGGTCCCTCCCACAACACGTGGGAATTATGCGAGCTATAATCCAAGATGAGATTTGGGTGGGGATACAGCCAAACCATATCAGTATGTAATTTATAACTTAATGGATTCATTGTGGAAGGAATGTAACTTTCCTATCACCATTTTCACAGTTTCAAGTGTTTGGTAAAATGAGACACACAGTAAAGATTTTGCAGGGCAATTAGTAATGTGAAAAGAAAGGATATTTAGGTTCAAGATTCCCAATACACAAATCTTCAACTGGCTGGGACAGGTTTATGAAGGAAGAGCTGTTGAGAGGACGCTTGCTGCAGTCGGGATCCCAGCAGAAAGCAGATGGCATGAGCTCAGGGCATGCTGAAGGCAGGCAGGGTTACAGGAGCTACAGGAGACCACCTACAGGTGGCAGCAGCCACAGTGGGTGGCCATTCCTAACCCTGTACCTGATGGCACAGGAGGGGCAGGAGCTGCTGGGAAGGAGCCGAGCCTTCCGCAGAAGGAGGTGCTAAACCCAGCAGCAATCTGGCAAGGAGGGCCGGGGAAGCACTCGCCCTGCCCTCGCTTTCCCCCAGCTCCTTTCATTAGTGGCACCCAACAGGAGCCAGAGGGCAAGTGGGACTGATGCAGTTTGCAGAGATCAGCCTCTGGGGCTGCTTGGGTACGGTGGGCCTTGAGGGCGAATGCAAGATGTACAGCTCAGCACTCCCGGTCCAATCACTGCTTGTGATGACAACCTTCCCTAACCACATCTCCCCAAGGCAATCATCTAGAGAGACGGAAGGTACCAAGTTTTGGATCATGGCTCCCGACCCCTGCCAGATATTAGGAAAACCAAGGTGAATAGGAAGCAAGAGAAGGTTCCTTCCTAAAGCGGCTTGCTTAAGTCCTCGCTGCAAGGCAGCCCAGGAAGTAGACCCAAACCAAGGGGGTAGGGCGGACCCCCTCAGAAGTTCCAATCTCAGACCTCAGCACCTCAGCACCCTGAAAGCTCCATTCCCTAGCAGCAACTCTCACGCATGTCCCATCCGTGTTCCTCCTGCATGTTGCGCACATGTGTGTGCATGTGTGCACCTATGTTGGAAGGGAGAATGGGAGTGAAGAGGAGCCCTCAGCGTCCCTTAGGGGCCGAGACTAACCTCGTCCCCTAATCTGACAAGCTGGGAAACAGCACAATACAACTAAAAGTAAATCACAGGTCAGGAAAACGCTTTCAGGAAGCACAACAAAGGGATGATTTCTATTGCTACATAAAGAAGTCCTACAAAATGATAAAAATGATTCAAAGAGATGGAGAGTTCCTGCCCAAGACCCAAATAGACAAGTCTTGCACCTGATGAGGCCTACAAAGAAAAAATCCTGTGGACAAGACTTCGTCCAGACCTGCAAAGAAAGGATGGGCGCAGGCAGTGAAGAATTACCAGTGTATGCTTATTAAATGGCAATTTAATACAAACATTCATTACCAGCGATGCTCCATGGTGAGGCTGTGGCAAAACACATCACCTCACTGTCAGAGGGAATAGAAACCCTTGCGGAAAACAATTTGGAACCAATTTAGAAACAATACACTTTGAAAAAATGTTATGTTCTTGTTCCAGTTATATGGCTCCTAGGAATTTATGGTAAGGATATAATCCCAAATAAGAAAAAAGCCATATGAATCCTAATAAAGATGCTCGTTACAGCATTATTTATAGGAGCAAAAAGGTAACCAAATATTATATTTTTGTAAGCATTTGGTTTAAGTATTTCAATAGGGGATTGAAATTAGGAAGACTGGCAACATAGAAGATACTTTAGATTTTTTAGATCTCAGGGGAGCAGAACACACAATTATGTGTATGATATGGTTATCAGTGGGTGAAATTTACACATGCAAATGGACAAGCTTGGAAGACAATGGAGCCACAGAGCAGCCACTGTGGTGGATTATGGCACCAAGGGTTAGTTTTTTTGTGTTGTCTTGCACTTGTTGCTTATGTAGCACACGCATGTACACGGTCTATGCAGTACGCGTGTATGCACGTATGTACGAGATTCAGATATCTGAGTACATATCATTTGCTTTTTTCAAACATTTGCCCCTCTACCTCCAGGATCTGCCCACCCATCAGCATAACTTAGTAATAAAGTCCCAGATGCAGCAGGCTCGTTCTGGTTACCTAGCAGCATGCCGGGGGGCAGCTGAGCCGAGGGGTCTTTCATCCAGTCGTCATTGGCCAGTTCTATCACGGCGTCCACAGGCGTGACTTCAGTGCAGATTAAATCTCCCACTCTCTCCTCATCTTTGGCATCCAGGGCAGACTTTAATCTCTTCACTAAATCTGAGTTGAGTGGGTAGTCTGGAAGGTAATCCGAGTTGGACATTGTTATGTCGTTTGTGCAGTGACCAGCCCTTCTTTTCTTCCTCTAAAGTGACTCCAAAATCAGCAGCTGTCCGCGAGAGTGGCGTGAGGGCTGCTATAAGTAGCAGCACCCTGGCTCCTCTTACAGTCCCTGGGGAGGGCCACCTGCCAGCAGGGAGGTGTGAAGTAATCTTTTCAGAGGCCTCAGCGAAGGATTATTCTAGAGATGGGGGCAGCAGACATGTTTGTGAATGGTGCAAGAAGGAGAGACAATATTTTCAAAGAGAGCTTTCATGGGTATTATGGAATAATGTCTTCTTTTATCAAAAGTGAGGCGCTCTCCTGAAACTTTGAAAACCTCTTCCTGGCCCTGGGCTTGGACCTCAGTTCTGCAGAGAGGAATATTTTCTAATATTCTACCCCTTGTGTTCCTTCACTGCCTCTAAAAGGAGCGTCTGGTCACCTGTAAATTGGACATGCCTCAAACTGCATAGAATAGAATGGAATCTTTGGTTTCCAAATTCAGAGAAGGACTGGCTGATCTCAGGAAGAAAAAAGCATCACAGGAGTGAGAAAAAAGTAACCTAAATATTACCTGCGACCTCCCCATGCCTCAAGGCTGGTAAACTTGGCTCAAAGCCTATAATTCCATGACTTGTGGAAGTGCAGAGCCCTCAGGTGGATTTCTGTGCACTCCTAGGGGCAGAGGTGGGGCTTTCTCTCCTTTACCTGTGTCTTCAGTGTGCTTGGGTCTCTGCATGACAACTTGTGCCTAAGCACAGCTGTTCCTGCAGCTTCTCTGCTGACACGAAGTGTACTGTGGTCTCTGAGGGCCCAGTGAAGGCCGTGGAGCTTACAGGGCCTCCTTCGCCTTGCCTCATATCTTGCCACCTTTTCCATTCCCCACTTTCTCCTCCCCTGTGCTTAATTTTCTGTCTCAGTTTGGCCGGGACCACAGTGCACAGAGACTTGGCGCAACACTAGTCTAGATGTTTCTATGAAGGTGTTTTTGGGATCAGATTGGAATTTCTTGAACCGGCAGACTTGGAGTGAGGCCAATGGCCCTCCCTAATGTGGTGTGGGCCTCAATCAGTCAGCCGAAGGTCTGATTAGAACCAAAGACTGACCTTCCCTGAGCAAGAAGGAATTCTGGCGGCAGACAGCCTTTGGTCTCAACCTCAGGTCTTCCCTGGGTCTCCAGCCTGTCAGCCCACCCTGCTGATGATGGATTTATCAAGACTGCACAATAGTATGAGCCAATTCTTGAAGAGAAATTCTCTGTCTCTTCCCTACATAGTGTTGGTTCTGTTCCTCTGGAGAACACTGACTAATATACCCTCTTCCTCCTTTCAGCTCCTTTGTGTGATTTTCCAGCTTCTGTTCCATCTGCACTTGAGGTGCCAGGCACTGTAGTTCCTGCCCAACATCCACTCTCCTTCCACCTGCCCCACAAGGCCTGGCTTTCTTGGTGGGGGCACTGTGCCCAGTCCCTGGGGATGAGTCACGTTGATTTAGGTCGGTAGTGTCAGCGCAGTCTCCTTTGCTTGCTACTCAACGTCCAGTCTCGCTTGCAACCCAGTTCTGGCTGGCGGTAGCAGGCGTGGGCTGCTGGGGTGAGTCTGGGAAGTTACCTGCTTTCCTGATCAAGAAGGACAGAAGTGGCTGGCATCTCTCTTCCCTGTTCTTGTTTCCTTAAACATGGGCCTGATATCTGGAGGTGCAGCAGCCACATCACAGCCGGGAAGCAACAGATATGAAATGAAGGATTATCACACAAAGGAGAGCGGGACGGAAAGTGGGAGAGAGACAGGGGATGACATTTCTGAACCCCTGCCCCAGCTCTGGAACACCAGCCACCAGACCTCTTGTCTTTATGCCGTAAGCACTTTCTGTGTGTTTTCTGTTACAGCTGAAGGCATTCTTGATTGATACAGCTAGTGTATTTACTCTGCCTTTCAATCATGGAAATGTCCTGGTTTTAGTCTAAGGAGGTGCAGGGGGAATGGCTCAGCCAGTGAAGAACTTGAGTTGATCCTCCCAAGCCTTCTATTCTTTGATAATAGTAATGCCCTGCCTTCTATGATAAAACCCCAATGGATTTTTTAATGACAAGAGCCAACTCCAGACTCCCTGAGTGGAGGAGCAATGGCACCACAGGTTGGGCTCATGAATGAGCAGCAGCCAGTGCCACTGGAGTGACTGCCTTTTAGTGTCACAGACCCTGACAAATGGACCCCAATGGAGACATCCTTGGAATCTCTGGTAATGGACTCTGCCCAGAAGGGAAATACGAACTCCGAACATCTGCCTGCTGTTCAGAGGCTTGACCGAACTGCAGAGTATAATTGGTCTCGGCTTCTTTCTTTGGCCCAAGAACTGGGGGTTTTGAAGGAGATTTTTGAGCTTAAATTTCCAAGCACGAATACTTTGCAGCATCAAATATCTTACATGTAGGGAGAAGTCTAGCACTGGTACATTTGTGTAGGTACAATGAAATGGGGGGTAGTGACCATAGGAAAATGATCAACACTGGGGCAAGGCAATTTAAAGAAACAAAACGAGAATTATTAGAGACTGCTATCAAACTTCAAATCAGAAGGGAGGTAAAGATGAAGCACTTGTTAGGCAGATAATAAGATGACAAAGCCTCAAAATACGACACTCACTGATCTTAATTACCAAGCTATCTGCTGGGTGTTTAATCAGTGGCACATACACTATGCTAATTATTCCAGCTAATTTCGTTATAATGCAATTCTTTATCAACCCTGCTATGTATAAATTAGGAATTGAAATGTAACTAACACAAATTATATTTAAGGCAACATGAATTTCTTTATTTCAGCATGAAATCTTCTAGTCTCTATTTCTTTCTTTTTATGATTATCTAATGTCAACCCCTCCCCACCCCAGTCCCCTGCAGCCTAAACCATCATTTGAGGAGAAAGGAACCCAGCACAAATATTTCCCCTTTTAACTTCTAGGAAATCATCTGTTTGACTTTCTCCTTCAGCGATTGTCCTTGAAAGGTGTAGAATATATTTCAGCAATCAGTGACAGACGGATCCTGGCTTTCTCTGCATAGATAAAGATTGCTTTATTGTTCTATTTTAATTTTTAAATAATCATTGGAGGGTACCATAATTTATGTATTTTCAGTGACATATTGTATGTAACTTACATCAAGTTATGTTTACAAATGTGTTTAGATGAGGACTAATAACACGTATCTTATAGAGAAGCATAAATATTGTCTGGAATTTTTAATGTCATGCGGCTCTGCATCCAAAGAGGTCAGGACTGCCAGGCTTGTGATTTTCTCCTCCATCAATACTTTTGGTTTTGAACAAATCTGCAGCAAAATAACAAAGCCTAATAAATTAGTTGATAAAACTGGGGTCTAATTTAGTCCCAGCACTAAGTCCATTGCCAAAGGAAGGCCATGGTCTGGGAGAAATGAACAGTCCCAAGTCCTCAGACCCTCCTGTGACCTCAGAGTGAGGGACAAGCACTGTGCCCATCTAGACTCACTCAAAGTGACTGAGACGTAGCCCTGTCTATGGATTCACTACTGAGACTCATTTCTTCTTTGGGCCTGAAATGTCCCTGCTTTTCCCTGAGAGCGTGGAGAGCAGCTCCTTCGTCCTCTGGTCCCCTGAGTGCTGTTGGGTGTTTCCCCGCCTCCAGATCCAGCTGCTGGGCCCTTCCCACTCTGGGTCAGCTGGGGCTTTGCTCCCAGGACAGAGGCTTCCATCATCTCGCATCATCCTCTCTCCTGTCTTTGATTCCCACTGTCTTATTTTTATTTCTCCTAATTCTCAGCTCCAGTGACATAGATGTTTCTCTTTGCGGTCAGAAGCTTTTTAATTTTGCTAAAGATTAATTTTTTTTGACAGAGTCTCGCTCTGTTGCCCAGGCTGGAGTGCAGTGGTACAATCACTGCTCACTGCAGCCTTTACCTCCTGGGCTTAATCGAATCCTCCCACCTCAGCCTCCCGAGTAGCTAGGACTACAGGTGCGTGCCACCATGCCAGGCTAATTTTTAAATTCTTTTTAGCAGAGAGAGGGTCTCACTATGTTGCCCAGGCTGGTTTCAAACTCCTGGGCCCAAGCAACCCTCACGCTTCAGTCTCCCAAAGTGCTGGGATTACAGGTGTGAGCCACCATGCCCAATTTGAATTCCTTTTCAATGAGTCTTTTCTAGCTTTTCTGTCTGGACAGGTTTGACCGAGATGTTTGTGTGAATGTATTTTCCATTCTGTGTGGGGCCAGGCTTACCCATCAACCCACCAGGCTGCAGTAGCCACTTTGTAGTGCCATCTTGGTACTTGAACTTGAGGTGGTTCTTTGTGCAATGAGAGAGCAGGGGCCACTTTCATTTCCCCTGTGTCTTCAGAGGCTGGAAACAATGCAATGGGATGTGGGCACAGACTAGGTGTGAAGAAAGTCATTGACAATTCTTGAAATTTTTTTTTTCTCTATTGGGGCATGATTTGTGATGATGCAAGGATAGAGTTGTACAATTGGAGATATGGTATTTCCTACCAATATAATCATCAAAGCCCAAATAACACACAAATGATTTTCATTCAGTAAACACTTTTTGAACCCTGGTTAATGCCAGGCACTTCTTGATGTGTATGTTGATTATATAATTCACAATACGTGCCACACACTTTCTAAAGGTGTTGTGAATATAACTTGTTTTCTCCTCTCAATGGTACTGAGGTTATTATCACTTGAGAGATGAGGAAACTGAGTGGGGAGCTACTGCTGAGGCCACATGGCTATTAAATGGCAGGGTTAAGATGCAAACACACAGCTGGCTGTGCATCCCGGTGTTGTGTGGTCCTGCCTCTTGTTCTGTGCCCAGTTCTTCCATCTCCTAGTCAGCTTCTTCCTCTTCCTTCCTGATATGGTTTGGATTTGGGAAGAGTGGTTTCATGGGCCAGACCCAGGGCCCTGCTGCCCTGTGCAACCTCAGGACACTGCTCCCTGTGTCCCAGCCACTCTAGCTCTAGCTGTGGTTAAAAGGGCCCCAGGTGTGTCTCAGGCCTCTGCTCCAGAGGGTGCAAGCCAGACGCTTTGGTGACTTCCATGTGGTGTTAAGCCTGCAGGTGCACAGACGGCAAGAGTTGAGGCTTGGGAGCCTCCACCTACACTTCAGAGGATGTATGAAAATGCCTAAATGTCCAGGCA